AAAAAAAAAAAAAAAAAAAAAAAAAAAAAAAAAAGGTGAAAAAAGTGTTACTACAGAAACAGGATTTACATGGGAGAGGCTAAAAAAAAGCCCGGGATGAAAAAGAGACGGGGATGCATCGCAGCCAGACATGGTTTCCATGGCAACCAGCGGCAGAGCCAATCCCACAGCTGGACATAGATGTCCCCAGAGCCACATGTGGGCACCCGGGCACCTGTGGGCACCGGGCAGTGCCCCCCTGGCAGCCCCAAGGGACACGGGACATCCCCGGAGGGGTTGGGAAGGAAAAAGTCCCAGGATCGGCTGCGCCTGCAGGGGTGGACAGTGGATGGAGGGATGGAGGGAAGGATGTGCTCCAGATGTGCAGGCATGGACACAGGACATCTGTCCCAGCCCCTTTTCTGCTGCCACACAGATGTCCCCAAGATGTCCCCCACAGATGACCTCACCTGTTCCCTCCATGGTGACGCATCCCACTGTCCCTGCTCCCTTCCCACCCGGACAGCTCCTCAAATCCCCTCTGCTGTGGGGACRCAGTGAGACTGGGATGGAGATACCACAGCAATGGGGACACCACTGGGACCAGGATGGGGACACTGCTGGGCTGGTGCCAGAGCCCAAGGGTGTCCCTGCTCCAGCTGCTTGGGGCTGCTCCACAGGAGGACAGGGCACAGGGGACAGAGCAGGGACAGGGCACGAGGGGCCCCCAGAACACCCTGAGCCACCCAGTTCTCCCTGAAACCCCCCAATGCCCCCAAATCCCCCAATCCTCATCCTCCTGATTTCATCCAGCCCCCCCAGCCCCCCGKGCCCACCTGATGCTGAGCAGGGGCCGGGTTTTGTGCACCTGCGCATCGCACATGGGGCAGTATTTGTTGGTCTCCAGGTAGTGAACGATGCAGGTTTTGCAGACTGTGGGGACAGAGGGGTGCCGTGAGCAGGGGGGGACRACAAGGGGACAGAGCCTTTGGGCCAGACAGGACTCCTGAGACCCCACACTGACTTAGGGACCCCCACACCAGCTTGGGGATGGGACCTCTGCCCATTCCAGTCCCATCCATCCCCCCACAGGTCCACGGGGCAGCATCACTCGGCACGGGTGGGTTTGGGCATGGCAGGAGGGTGTCGCTGTGGGGTTTGGGGACACCCCTGGGGACAGCTGGGGACACTCACAGGAGTGCAGACACTCCACGATGGTGGTGGCATCGATGAAGTAGCCACCGCACAGGGCGCACATCAGGTGGGGGTTCAGCTCTGTGATCTTTATCCGGGTGGTCCTGTGCATCTTGGAGCAGCCCCTGGCGGATCCTCCCTGCGGGAACACCCCCGGGAATGTCCCCTTGTGCACGGATGGGATCCGCAGGAGCTGCGTCACATTTCAGGGTCTGGGGCGGGGGTGTCCGGTGCTCCCTGGGATGTGTCATCCACGGGGCACTCGAAAATCTCCCCGTGCCACCCCCAGCTCCAGGAGCATCCCAGCCCCCTCTGCCTCATCCCAGTGTATCTCCAGCTGTGTCCCCAACATGCTGGGACACCTCTGAGCAGGGACAAACGCCCTATGTCAGCCAGATCCCCACCTGTGGCTATACACACACACAGGAAAGACAAAAAAGGAATTTTGGATTGGTTCCATGGAAAAGGCATTTCCATCCAAAATCCCATGTCTTTTTTTTCTACAGAAAATCCTGAGTCTGGTGCTGACCGCCTCCCACCCGGCCGGGAACAGCCAGCGAGGCCACGTGAGCGCGGCGGGAGCGGGGTGAGGACCCGAGGAACCGCCGCCTTCCCGCTCCGGCACTTCCACATTTCCAACGGGAGCCTGGAATCGCCGCCGTTTTATTGTTTCCATGGTAACCACGTTACTCGGAGAGCAGCCGGAACACTGTCACAGCCTGCCGAGGCCGGGGGTGGGGGACAGGGAGCCTGGCGTGGTGGCAATGAGCACGAGCACCGCGGCAGGGTCGGGACACCGGCGGCGACACTACAAGCACCTGCCGGGACACACGTGTGACACACGGGGACACACGAGGACACACATGGACACATGGATTACAGTACACACACGGATACACCTGCAGCCAGGAATGGGGACGCCACTGGCACTGGGATGGAGGTGCAAGGAGAGGGACGTCACTGGGACCATGATGGAGGTGCCAAACAGATGGGGACACCTCTGGGATGTTGCAGGGATGGCGACACCACTGGGATGGAGATGCTGCAAGAACACCATTGAGACTGGGATGCCACGGGGATGGGACAGCACCGGGACATTGCAGGGATGGGATGTCACTGGGACAGGGATGGAGGTGCCACAGGAATGGGAGAACCACAGGGGCCAGGATGGAGACGCTGCAGGGATGGGGACACCCCTGGGATAGGGACCTGGAGGACACCCCTGTGCTGGAGGAGCAGCGGCCGGGCTGAGCTCCAGSATCTCCTGGCAGAGGGTTTCCAGGACCACCGGGGTGTTTGGGCACCCCCCAGTCCTCCCTTCCCAGACCCAGCTCCGCTCCCTGGGCACCCCCGGTTGGTGCCCCCAAATCCCCCTCCCCAGGTGATGGGAGGGTCCTGCCAGCCCCCTCCCCATGTCTGGGATCCCCTGTACCCGTTTTCTCCCGGACAGGCTGCGTTTTGGGGGGAATTTCGCAGCTTTCGGTGCTCGCAGCCGCCAGTGGAGGCCCCGGGTCTCGGCGGGAGGGGGAAGCCCGAGCCACCGGCGCAAACCGGTTCTAATAAACCGGCCGATTTCCTGTGGCGGGGAGGGGCGGAACAAAACCCCGGCTCCCCCGGGCCCCGCCGCATCCCCCGGGCCCGCCCGTCCCGCCGGCAGCTCCCGCACCTCCGGCTGCGACTTTCGGGCTCTTTTGTTTTCGTGGGCGGTGGCCCGGCACGGTCCTCCCCTTCCCTAAAATCCCCCCGACCGAGCACGGGTAGGGAAGAATCTATCAAAGTCACCGGGACTCAGCCCCGAGCTGCCGCCCCTTCCCCGTGGGATCCCCCGGCGGCGAGCGCGGGGCTCGGGAACAGCCCGGGACCGCTCCCCCGGCACGGCCCGGGCCTCGCACGGCGTCCACGGGCCCCGGAGCCCCGGGAACGCGAGGGAACAGCCCGGGA